CGCCTCGCGCTATAGGATCGGTACAGGCGTAGTTCTGTATACGGGGACCATCGCTCTAATGGCTTTGGTTTACGTCGCGTCCAGTTAGTGTAGCAGACTACCAACCCCGTTTGAGATAGTACATCCATTCTTTATCCGGCTCTTACCGGGCCACCATACTTCAGATACATAGTACTAAGTAGTTAATACACAAGAGGTGATCGCTCGACGAAGTAAGTACGCAGGCGCGCCCCAGACAGTGTTCCCTAGTCCCTATAGTCCATTAACTACTTAGCATGCTTTTGCAGAGAGGTTTCTTACGTAACTCTTGAATATGAGTTTACGGTCGAAGTGAACGCCGAGCCAGCGTAGAGAAAAGCCTTCTTTAATAGCCTGAACTATATAATACCTCCCATCCGGCAAACCTACTATGATTAATAGGTTTCCGTCTTTTCGTCTCTTAGTGAAGTAGATCAGTTCGGACTTATCGAGGTCAAAAGTGATTCCTTCCGTCGCGCCCCATCCTAAGGTTTCTTTCCATTCCTTAGTTAGGATGTCACAGTTATTCTCTAGTAATGTTAAGCTTGCCAAGATAGCAACGTCATCGGCGTAGCCAAAACGAGATCGCTTCCTTCCTAGGCGAGCTATGCCTAGCTTAAAAAGAGGTTCAATATAGAGCATAAATAGAATAGGAGACACGGGTAAGCCTTATAGTAGTCCGCATTCGAGACCGAAGACGTCTCCTACCTCCCCATCAAGCCTTATTCTTGCTCTCCTTCCGGTAACAAAACTTGAGACCCAGCGTACGAGGTTCTCCGGCCATCCTTGTTCGCAGAGGCGTCGGACCAGTCGTCCTAGGAGCACGGCGTCAAAAGCCCCTTTTATATCGAGCATAAACATAGAGGTAACCAGGCCTCTTTACCAGGCGCACTCGATATCATGGATGGCCGCTACGATAAGGTCGCTACAAGAGCAAAGAGGGAGTACTCCAAACTATTGATCGTGCAGAACACGATATTTAACTACGATCCAGGCAAGTCGTCTGGCGATAAGTCTCTCCAAGCCTTTTCCGAGGACGGCCAAGAGCGCAATTGGCCTATAGGAGCGCGGGAGTGTCTTATCTCTTTTTCCCGGTTTTACTAGGATCACGAGAGTTACTTCTTTAAAACAAGTAGGATACCAACCCTCGCGTATACACCCGCTATAAAGTAAGAGGACAATATCCTCAATAACTAGCCATGCTATTTTCAAAGCAGTCGTAGTAATTCCGTCGGTCCCAGGAGTCGTGTTTCCCGCGGTGAGAACCGAAGACCGTACCTCGTCCTTCGTAACCTGCGGGAAAGGAAGCGTAGCTTGCCTTTATAGGACTGGGCTTTCTATTAGTATGTCCTCGGAGGTTGCAGCGTTTCTAAGGAGGACACGGGTAAATAAGTCGCGCTTCTCTTTTGGTTATGAGACAAGCGTGTCTTGGTTATCTACATCTCGGAGTGGCGGGGTCTGAAAGGATCCTATGGCTTTATACCAACCGACCATTTCAAATATATCTTTACTTAAGGAGGCTAAGGAGATCTTATCTTTCCAAAAGGCATCCTTGGAGCGTTTAAACTCGTAGAGGAAGTCCTATTTTAGAGCTTCGACCTCCTCTTCTTCCCATTAGCAGTTCACTCCGGCTGCGCGGAGTCTTACTAACATCGCTCGCTTACTCGCATAGGCTCGGTATTTACGTGTGCAGCTCTCGCTCCAGTATGGTCTCCCTGTACCTTTCCCGAGCGTGCGCTTTGTGGAAGCCGTAAGTGCTTTAATAAGACAGTCCGTAAGCTGTTGTGCTAGGAGATCTAAAGACTGTGGGTCTTGGATGTTGCTTGCAGTGCGGCGTATGGGTTGTAAGTTGCGTTTAATGATGCCGAGGAAAAGCTCCTCGTCCATCGTGTCGAGCCGAAACCTTCCCGGGGTCTGGCTGGGTGAATCGATCAGGGCCAAGGGGACCCGGGTAAGCAGAGATTCGTGGTCTGATGTCGTGTGTAGTGACGTTTCTATGCTGGTGGAAGCCCCATGGAGGTTGCTGGACGCCCAGCATAAATCTAGGGTATTGCCGCCTTTGTGCGTGGGTTCACCTATAGGTGACGTTAGGACAAGGCTAGCGGCTTCTGCCCATTCTACTAGGTTTTCAGCGTCCGGGGAACTCGTGGCCTCGGGCTGCCACGTCCAATGGTGTAAGTTAAAATCCCCCGCAATCAGTACTCGATCCTCAGGTTTGGGTTGCCAGGCCGCTAGGATGTTCCTGAGAGCCTGGCCAGATCGCAGAGAGCCACGAGGGGCGTTGTATACGTGTTTAGCCCCCAAGTCGTGTTGGATCATATTGATCCCAAATGATCCTTATCTTATCATCACGTGACTTGTACCATAGTTCTTCCGTTCCGTGAGAGGGTGCCTTGTGTCCCCTTGTCCTGTGCATGTATGGCGTATCGTAACCGTCGTAAGCCTGCGGGGCAGGCCCTGTTCTTGGTCGTGCATGTTGGGTCGTAACACTAATCGGGTAATATAATAGTAATAAGAAGGGTCACGTACCCTTACATTTGGCTTAATTAATTAGCTAATTACTCAACGTAACCAATCCTGGGGAAAAAGTGGTCAAATTAGTCAAATCGAGGCTTGATTGGCTTTATTGGAACGAGCGGCAGCGCTGTGCAGGACTACTCTTATTGAAGTAAAGTTTGCGGATAAAGTTGCGGGTTGGCCGATTGACTCTTGTGATAAAGTTTGGACGGCTCATTGCTTGGCCCCTGATTTACCGCCAGCGGAATCAAGCAGAACAGCTCTATGATCATGGAGCCCCTGACAACGAAAACCGACGCTAGGAGAAGAAAGATGCGGGATTTACGAAACCCATGCTAGGCGCTCGGGGGAGACAGTTGTCGATATCAAAGCGTCACCGAGTCTACGTTTACGATCCCATCTCCGCTCCTGGAGGGGGGGCAAGTTCACCCGAGGGAGCAGAGTAGCAGTCGGGATGTCTCCATTCCGAATGCAAGAAGAACTCGTTTCTAGATTGACGGTTCATTTTAGGTGCTTATCACCAAGGCTTCCTTGGAGGGGTGGATAGACTAGTCAATGTCGCTATAGCTCTTGGCAGGAGGCAGAACCATGCTCCCCGCCATAGCGGGCAGCTTAGGTCTTGATGGTGGCGGCTAGCCATATGTCAGAAGCTGAATTCAAGTCCGTAACGGGAATACGAGCGTACTTTCGGCCTTGATCACAAACTCAAAATTGATACTGGGCCAGGTCCATGTACACGGAGCAAGGGAAGAGACCCAATGATATTTCCTGGCTATAATCTTTTACTCACTGAACATACGCGTAGAATAGCAGAGCAAGCCAGCCCATGATTAGTTAGCAACCAGAAGATTAATAACACAAAATGCTTAACGCTTCATAAAAGCGGTACGCTATATCAACTCATTGCATGTACCCAAACGGCGCGGCACTTCAACTGAAGACGTAGATGAATGAGTCGAACCTGGTATTCCTGGCCTTACTAGCTTGTTGCGTGCTTCCTGTCCGATTCGATGTCGCAATGCAATGGAATTCCGGTTGCAAGCTCAGGCCCTTCGATTCTACGCAAGCACAATTGTCGTGATGGCTTCAACCATCTGTGGCCTCACTACCCGTCACGTGACCTCGGTTACATAATCACCGAGGCCCATACTCGCTCGCATCACCTGTTTCAGAGCGAGCCCGAACTCCGCCTCCCTCGGCACTTACTAGGAAGGCTATACGCAGCAAGATCCCATCATGGAGACTTTGCAGCATACCACGAGAGATTCGCTCATCAAGATGCGTTGCTCAACTGCAGCTGTGGGAAACCCAAGACACCAGTCCATTTCTACTTCTGCAAGCGTGGACGCAAGGCTACACCGCACTACCTCCGCCAACGTATGGCCAAAGCAAGTATTGATTTCTTGTTAGGTTCTGCTAAGGGAGCCTCTCTTCTATGCGAATGGATAGAGGAGACCAATTTCTTTTCCGAAATTTGCCCGAGTCATTGAACAGGAACGTTAGGTGAAGACGGTAGCCTGTAATATAGTTTAGATTAGTATAGACCATGTCGGCATAGCGCCCGGCACGTCCTTTTGTTACCAGACGTTAAATACATCATCATCATCATCATCATCATGTTTCAGAGCGAGCCTCGTACCTATTCTCTACTTTCAATGGATAACCGTTCTCTATCAAACATCTCGATGCCCACATTGTGACCATACGACAACAATTTTATCCTGAGTCATATTAGCGCCATAGCGTGCCATTCTTCCAAGACAGCCATATTCTTAGCGAGAATATGCTTGACAGTATCATCGCCAAAGAGCCTCTTGCCGCGTTTGCCAAGATACATGCTCGTGCACTATCCCAGCAGCGAGCAGCACGAACATCGTTCTTGCCAGTCTCAAAATTAAAGGATCATGGGGAATGGAACATGCACCGATACGACTCTATCCAAGTAAACATCACTTCACTCTGTTGTCTGTGGGTTTTTGCCGTGACTGCCACCTTGCGCAGTAAAATTGGATGCGTACCACGGTATGAGAGATATGGTCAACATCACAAGACTACCGGCTCAGTGGCGATGTAACTGACATGGCATGTACGTGTGCGCGATTTCTGCAGTTGATGCCATCACGTACATCGGCCATTGATTTCCTATCATGGCCTGATATGCGAGTTTCTTGCAGAATACTTGCAGCAGTCACAAGGTATGCATCAGCTTCCATGTCACGACCGGATTACCGTAAAGAGGCTGATGGATGTCTCTTGACAGGAATACTATCCGACTTCGGAGTGGAAGAAGAAATGACTCTGATGCGGGAAATTTCCTCTATCTTTGTTTTCCTCGGTCTTGCTTCCTGATTCTTATTTAAGATTCTTTACTTCTTTTCTTTTGGATCCAACAGAATTTCTTCATCAACAGATACTACAGGAATCAGATCCCCTGATCTTCAAGTCACTTTTCTTCTCCCCACACCATGAGGTTCCAGCTGACCGTGGCGCTTGTGCAAGCAGCCCTCTCCGCCAGTCTCGTCCAGGCTCAGAACTCTTCCTTCGGTGATACACACATCTCCCAGATTCCCGAGGCAGAGGTTGTAGCCCTCGCTCAAATCGTGGAAGATGATCCAGAAGACGTTTTCACCCTTTTCAAGGATTGGGAAAGCCCTGAGTATGCCTTAATATACAAGGTGCCTCTGCCAATCCCACCGGTGAAGGAACCTACCAAGTACGACTATCAGCTATCTTTCTGTTGGAGCAATGGCTTGTCTAACATATCTTATAGAAAAATCATCAACCAAGTTACAAACAAAGAGATCTGGTACTACGAGTTGGAGATCAAGCCCTTCACGCAGGCGGTCTATCCCAACTTGCGCCCTGCAACTCTGGTGGGCTACGACGGCATCTCTCCGGGCCCGACACTGATTATCCCTCGAGGAATGGAGTCTATCGTTAGATTCATCAATAACGCCGCTGCCGAGAACTCGGTTCATCTTCACGAATCCTACTCTCGCGCCCATTTCGACGGTTGGGCGGAAGATATCACCAACCCAGGTGTTGGTATACACGTCAGCAGGGGCCTGTGGGCCGGTACGAAGCTCAATAATCTTGGTATTGAACTGCGTATATCTGTGTAAGGAGGAAGTTGGTGGGCGTAGCCCACGATTCCTCCGTTGGATGTAAGTAAGTGGAAGGGCCGTTTGCAACGGCCCAGACCACCTTCCAAATCCACCCTTTTCTGCCGTCAATATTCCAACACCAGGGGAGTACAAGGACTACTATTATCCCAACCAATAGTCCGCGAGACTGCTGTGGTATCATGACCACGCAATGCATCTTGTGAGTTGATCTGATCACTTTTTGTCGGATTGGAAGTCCAATTCGACCGCGAGTAAGGGCAGAGCATGGGCCACCTCGAGGGAGTACAATTAGACCTCGACTACCCACCCAACCTCCGGTTGGAATCTCCCTTCTACTCCTTACGCAGAATCAATCAATACAGAGATATTGATACTTCGTCACCCCAGGACCCTACGGTTCGAACCAAATTCCCTGTGAAAGGAATACCAACACTTTTGGATGGTAGACGGAGTCGCTAACTTGAAACCTCAGACCGCTGAAAATGCGTACATGGGACAGGCCGGAGCCTACCTGATCACGGATGAGGCAGAGAGCGTTCTCAACCTGTCTTCAGGCTACGGCATTTATGATATCCCTCTCGTTCTCTCTGCGAAGCAATACAATGAGGATGGTACCCTGTTCTCAACCAAGGGGGAGACTGACAGTCTCTGGGGCGATCTTATCCACGTTAATGGTCAGCCCTGGCCCTTCCTCAACGTCGAGCCAAGAAAATGCCGGCTTCGTTTCTTGAACGCAGCTGTCTCCCGCGCCTTTGCACTATACCTGGTCAACTCCAATGCTGTGAACGGAAAGCTGCCGTTTCAGGTTATCAGCTCCGACATTGGCCTCTTGGGGAAGCCAGTGCAAGTTGCAGACCTTGTGAGCCGCATCACTATCGTACTAGTGACGAAAACTTGCTAATATCAGTCAGTACGTCTCACCAGCTGAGCGATATGAGATTATCATCGATTTTGCTCAGTACGCTGGCCAAAGACTCGAAATCAGGAACTTCCCCAAGGCTGGCGGTATCGGCGTCGAGGATGACTACTTGCACACCGACAAAGTAATGCAGTTCGTCGTCGGCACGACCTTATCTAGCCCCGACACATCCACCGTTCCAGACGTCCTTCGCACAGTTCCCTTCCCGACATCAACGGATAACGTCATTGACCACCATTTCCGCTTCCATCGTACCAATGGCGAATGGCGCATTAACGGCGTGGGCTTCGCCGATGCAGAAAATCGCGTTCCCGCAAACGTCCTCAGAGGCAAAGTCGAGATTTGGGAGCTTGAGAACAGTTCTGATGGTTGGTCTCATCCCATCCACGTCCACCTCGTCGACTTCAAAGTCATCGCTAGAGACGGTGATCGTGGCGTGATGCCCTACGAAGCGGAGGGTTTGAAGGATGTTGTGTGGCTGGGCAGAGGCGAGTCAGTCCTCGTTGAGGCACACTACGCCCCCTGGGACGGTTTTTACATGTTCCACTGCCACAACCTGATTCACGAGGACAGTGATATGATGGCCGCGTTCAACGTCACTGTTCTTCCAGATTTTGGATACAACGAGACCAAGTTCATTGATCCCATGGAAGCGCGCTGGAGAGCGAAGCCGTACGTCATGGCCGATCTGCGTACTCGAGCTGGACCGTTCTCCGACTCTGCCATTGAGGAGGCAGTCCAGGCCATGGCCGCTACTGACCCGTACAGCAAAGTTGACGACGTGTATAAGAATCTTGATCAGTACTGGTTATCGCATGTGAGTAAGTAGGATGATTTGGGGACGAGTGCTGAGGTTCGAGGCTCCTGAATACGTATTGCCTTTCTCAGCTCACATGCATTTTGTGTCATTTTCTTTGGTCGTTGGCTTCTACACACTACATTCTCTCATGATTCCATTTTTCTGTCGTCATCACCTTCTTGTAGATGCGTAGACATGAGCTTGCTCTATTCCATGAATCATCAGCTTAGCAATCATTCATAACTTGATTGTCCCGGTCATGGAGTGAACTATGTTTGGATTTTGTGGCGCGAACCTTCTTTCCCCGATACAATCCTAGCTCATGAAAGCGGCAAAGGAGAGTGATCTTCGAAGTGCTCCCATGTGGTGCCGTTCTATGGCATAGCATTGATCGAAAGGCGCATGTTGTATATTCGCATTGAGATTTTGGAGAGATTTATTTTGGAGAGATTTGAAAACCACACAGCAGTGAGTTCTATATATTACACAGCACAAGACTGGAGCAATGAGCAAGTCCTGTCATAATTGTGTATCGTCAAGTTTGGCAGCGAAGTTGGATGATCTCCATACCCTGCCAAGCATCCCCCTCCCCTCAATAAGCTTCAGACTCGCCTAACCATTTCGAGGCTCCTGGCAGCACCCAAATGTAATTAAGCTCACACCGTTGTCCGACTTTCGACCAATCTCAGTCTCTCCAAGGCTTGCCAACCAAACGATCGACGCAAATGCATGGTTGCAGAATTGAAGAACATCCTCTTTGGGAGAAATTCCCACCAATCCGGGCCATGTTCGGAATCCAAGCCGACGGGCTTGCTGTTTATCCAAAGCAAATGGGCAGACGATCGAACTTGACAATGCTCACGGTTGCCAAGACTAGTCCAATCACAGCAAGAGCGGTGCGTGACTTTGCTTCTGGGATGGGACGAACAGCCATTAGAGGTAGCAATGGGATGGCTCCGAGATGGGAGGAAGATGCCCGCTGCAACGTGCCAAGATTTCGAATAGAGTCCGTCAACCAGAAGGAATTTGCGCTGCCAGTCACATAGTAGTAAGCTACTGACTTATCACTAAGTAGACGTATATTTTCCGCGCCGATGGACACTCCCACTCAAAGCACTCTAGTATAGGCACGCCACTTCCTTGTTCTTTTTTCCATATTTCTCCAACTGAATTAGCAGTGCCTTCCACGCCTGTGACCTCAAAATGAAGTTGACCTTCACTACCATCGTTGGCGGGCTGGCTGCGACAACCACAGCCCATGGTTTCGTTCAACAGCTCATGCTCGGCGAGAATCTAGTCGACACCTGGAACCCTTACAAAGATCCATCGAAGAAGGTCAACAAGATTACTCGCAAGTTCAAAGACAATGGTCCGGTAACCGACGGCTTGTTTACGGTAGGTCTTATCGACTCGGGCCATTGCCAAAGATCTACGACGCGAATGCTGACTTATCCAGACCGATGCCATTACCTGCAACATTGGATCTGACAAGAATAACGTTCCTGCCACTGAGACCGCTAGTGTGCCTGCCGGCAGCAATGTCAAGTTCATCTGGACTGGGTGGAAGAGCGATCATCCTGGCCCAAGTACGAGAATACCTTAGCTCGGTCTCCTCTGGCAGTAATACTGACTAACAAGCAATAGTTGTGACCTACCTTGCCGATTGTGGTGGCAAGTGCAGCGAGTTTGATGGAAGCAAGGGCAACGTTTGGGTCAAGATCGACCAGTCCGGCTACGACCCGACGGAGACTATCCCATGGGCCAGCAAGCGTCTTCCCGAGAACAACAGTACCTACACCATAAAGCTGCCCTCCAAGATTGCACCTGGAGAATATATCCTGAGGCATGGGTTGCACCAAATGATACATCGAGATTTATGACAAAAGCTGACTTCCGGTCTTTCAGACACGAGATCCTCGGGTTGCAACGAACCAACAAGGACGGCAACCTCGCCCAATTCTACCCCGGATGCCATCAGATCACGGTGACTGGGACCGGGACCACCAAACTTCCCGAGGGAATCGCACTTCCTGGAGCCTATCAGGCGGACGACACCAAGTCGGTATGTGGAACGACCAGTATCTCAGTGTCAATTAGTAACGCCCAGATGTTGACTATCTCTGACTAGATTCTGCTCGATTACCGTAAAGTTACCGAGTACACTCCTCCCGGCGGCCCTGTTTGGACCGATGCTGGTTGGGCACAGTGATCCACCCCATCCCCAAACTACAACGCTTCCTTCACCATGTACATACTTGATGGTCTGCATCCGCACCACTGTAGATACTTCCGCTTATTCCAACACATCACTTCAACACGAAGGTCTCCAGCTGTCTAGAATCTACAGATAGTGATTGATCTAGTACGCGTAAAGGTTGATTGCTTCATCCTGAGTGGCTCTGATTTTCCTATTGGCGCGTTTCAAAATGAACTTCATAGCCCATGCTGTCAAGACCACTCCCAGCGAGAAAGCGATGCTAGCAATCATGGCTCTACGAAAAAGAGGACTGTCACTGTCCGGCCACAGATAAGGGGTGAAGACAAAGGTCAGGTTGCCCAATGTATTGACAATTGCGATTGCGGCAGCTTTCTTCTCGTCAGTTTGGCCAACCGTTGCTGACGTCCACGCAACTGGAGTGAAGCATTAGCCATGCTTATGAAGCTAAACTACCCGGTTCGAGTAAAAGGTAATTACCGTTAATGTTGTTGACTCCATATGTGGCCGCCACGAATACAACCATGGCAAAGTAGCGTGCGCCGATGTTCATCGTGCTTGTTGCTACCGCGAAGCCGACGATGGCGACCGCCTTAGAACCTGTGATGTGCCAGGTGCGTTCGTTGAACTTTTCTGATCACCATGATACCAAAACGGATCTAACACCTCCAATCAGGTACGGGGGACAGGTTAGCAAAAGCGTTGTTGTGATACTGAAACCAAGTTACTTAACGGCTGTCGGTAAGTAATTCTTGAAGTTGTTAGCTGAGAGGTGAAGATTGCCCATGAGAGCGGGGACCCAGGTGCGATAATCTGTGACAGCTTCCCAGAGGCCAGACCACGTGCTGGTTCCCTGTCGCATTTCAGTCGTATCGTTTGCAACACGCGAATGAGCCAACTCGCGCTCTTCTCGGGTAAGCCACCGAGTTTGGAGTGGAGCATTGGGCAGCACGAAGAATGCTACCAGGGCAACACCAACTGGATGATATCGTTAGCCTCTAGGCTCAAGAATATTCGGATATCCTTGAGACGCAGTCTTACTTGTGAAAACACCTTGTATCAAGAACAACCATCTCCACCCGGCCAAGCCGTGCCGTCCATCTAGACCGGCAAAGACGCCAGTGGCGATCAGACCAGAGAATGAGCTTGCAAGCAAATTGCCTGTGTAAAATACTGCCATTCGTGTTGCAACCTCCTTGCGCGTATAAAACAAGCTGGCGAGGTAGCAGGCGCCTGAGTAGAACGGTGCTTCAGTGAGACCAAGCACCAACCTTTCAACCAAGGTGCGTCGTCAGTCTTTTGCTTCTGGTATCAAGTGCTCCTGGGATAAAGTGCTCCTGACTGACCTGCACGCAAGCATTCCATGATAGTCCTTGACAACACAAATGAGAGTCGACACGATAGCCCAGGCCATCATCCAGCCTGACATGTAATATGCGGGCTTGATGCGTGTCACCAGCATGTTCGACGGAACCTGCCCTGTGATATAACTTGCTTCACGTGTCAGCTATATCTCCATATCGCCACACTAAGTCCAGGTCTCTTGTAGTCCTGTAACTGACCCAACAAAAAAGATGCTGACGCAGGTATTGTACTCAGATCCCTTCAGGTTGAGGTCTTTGTCGAGGTTATTGAGCTTGCTATTGACGAGGGCGTTACGGTCGAGGAAGTTTAGGAAGTACATCAACCATAGCATAGGCTATGGGAAGACCTCGATGTCAGTCTTGCGTTTATCTGGGGGTAAGAAAATTGCGATCGATGATTGATTACGGTTCGTTTACCATGAGATAGGCATCCAGTTTCCGAACGAGTGCAATTTCTTTGGGATCGACTTTGGCGACTGACCCAAACTTGTCTGCCTGTCCTGTAAGAAGAACATCTTTAGGCTCTTCTTGGTAGTCTACATGGTCGGCATGTGCCTCTCGGTCTTTGGTCGTCTCCATTGCCGTAGATTGTAGGCTTGGAGACTTCGGTGGCTTTGGGAGCTGATGAATCTGAAGTGTTTTCAGTCGAGGATGGGAATTCTCGCTTGAGGCATGGTCTGGTCATTGATTTCCCTTTTAACCAATTTCGGGACCATCTCGTTAGATCTTATTAGAAGCAGAAGAGACTTTCTCAAGACCGGATATCAACAAGGATTAGTTGCTTGGTTCATGGTCAATCACGGCCAGCTTGTTGCGAAATCCACCAATCAACATGCGTTTTTATGACACAGCCGATCATGAGGATTCATCTGGCAGCTTGTTCGCCGCCACGTTGAAGCTCCCTGGAGTAAGTAATCATCACATCAAAATCTGGGGTGCAATGGTGCTAGCTTGCTGCCCTGTGGGGCACTTTGGACATGCAGCGTGCGTCAGACCTCAATCCGGGGCTGGTGAATTGATCGCGGGGTAATGCGTACAGCGTTTGGCGCTATGATCTCCATCTGCTGCCGCCGGAGAAGATCCGTCTATAACCGGTACTGACGAACTTGGTTCCGTACTTGTCTATGAATTTCCTTTGCCGTGGGGGTTGCTGATGGGATTACCATAGTGCGTCTAAAGCCGTGAGACCGTTCATATTTTCTTATGATGTTAGAGACAGTGTGTGTATGTGCGAGGAATCCTCCGAGTCAAGCAGGTGCAGCAACACTTTTACCAAGCTTTTGAGCAAACCGCACGAAAGGTTAGAATATGTAGGTATGATGACTGAATTAAAGGATTGGAATTACCATTTATGAGTCTGATAAACGTTGCTACTAAAGGCAAGGAAGATGACAAGAATAAGAGCTTCTTAGGCTCAGCAGCATAATGCCACTCAAGCCACTCCATTTGCCGAAGAGCCGCTCCTACTCCAATGATTGGTTGAATAATTCTTGGGAACACGACAAGAGCATACCTAGCTGAAGCCCACCCCCCATTGCGAAACCACCAGCAAAGTTTCCATCTACAGCCATCTGTGGAAGTAAGATGTCTACAGCTCCGAGACATGTCTACAGTTGACATCATCCTGTCGATGGAATCCTAAACTTGGTCGGGGTCCCCCTTGCAGAAAAAGTGAAGTGCCATGTACATGATTGATGGCCTTATTCTCCCCAAAGCCCCCGCCGTCAAGAGACGCTTTAGAGCACCCGGCGCCCGGCAAGCTTAGCTCAGTATGCACCTTGGCTCTACGGCGCGCGGTGGAGACGGGACGGAATTGCTACACGGATAATGCATCCAATGCCAAATAGGTGGGGGACCACCGGGGCCGGCGTTACAAGACGCTTGCACATAAATTGAACTTCACGTCGAACCTGGACGACTTTCTCTCCTATCGCCTGGTCGGAACAAAACACGAGAGACCTCCAGGTTTTGATTGATGAGTTCACATCCTGTCAATTTCTCACGATGGCAACTCAGACAACGACAACGACAGTCGGCCAACTCAAGGTCTCCGCTCAGGACCGCCCTTTCTTCACCCTCGATGAGCTCATCAAGAGGCGTGCACTCGAACTCGGTGATGCGCCGTTACTTGGGTACCCCAACGAGGGCCTACTAGATTTCGAAAAGCACAGCGCTCGCGCCGTGGACCGATATGTCGACGTCGCCGTACAGAAACTACAGCATTTGGGGCTATCTTCCGTAAGCCGCACTATCACTCAACTTTCGCGGTCAACCTTCCACTGACTTCTTGTTCCCCATAAGGACTCCCAGTCCGACAACGCCCCCGTGATAGGAATCCTCGCTCACTCTGGCCTGAATGTCGTCATCACCATTATGGCTCTCAGCAGGCTAGGTTACGCAGTGTTTCTTCTCTCCGCAAGACTTCAGAGCCCGGGAATTGCCCGCCTTTGTGAGTTGGCGGACTGCGGCGCCATGCTCACCACATCAAGTTTTCACCCTGTCCTAGCCGAAGTCCAGGAGAAACGGAAGCTGGATATCTTACCGTTGCTTTCGCACTCTGACTACTACGGCAAAGATGCGCCCGTGTTCTCTAGAGCCTACGATCCGGAGCGAGAATCGACGAAGATTGCCGCCATTATACACTCCTCCGGTTCGACAGGCCTTCCAAAACCTATCTATCTTACTCACAAGAGCTGCATCGGGGCCTTTTCCGTTCACATGAACATGCGAGCCTTCATTGTCTCCCCCTTATTTCACAGCCACGGATTCTACGAAAGTTTCGCTCGATATACTCGAAGAAGCCCATTTACTATGGCAACTACAGCTTGCCTTTGACGAGGCAAAGCCTTGTCCAGATGATCAACTGTGTCAAGCCTGAGATCTTCCACGTCGTTCCTTACGTCGTGAAGCTACTAGCCGAAACAGACGAGGGCATCCGCGCTTGGGCAAGCGTGAAGCTCGTTCTCTTCGGGTGTAGCAGCTGTCCAGACGACCTTGGTGACCGTCTGGTCAAAAACGGAGTCTACCTCGTCGGCAACTACGGATCGTAAGACCATTTCCTCATCTTCCTCGGCTCCCAGGCCGTGTCGGGACTAGCGCTAACGAGTTGAAGAACCGAAGTGGGCAGGTTGATGAACTCCGTCCGGCCGCCGGGCGATGAAGCCTGGAACTATCTTCGTCCCTTCCCCTCCGCGAAGCCCTATGTTTTCATGGATGAAATCTCACCGGGGATCTAAGAGTGCGTCTGCCTCGACGGCATCCCTTCAAAGTCGACCTCGAACTCGAACTCCCCGCCAAACTCCTTCCGCACGCGTGATCTCTTCGTGAAACACCCCGCAATGCGAACCGCAGTGCCGGTGCGCCTGCAAAAGTTTTGAGGACCGGGCAGCTTGTCGGTGACAGTAAGGTTGGCGAGTGGAATACGACAGAGGGTATCCCGTTGATGATCCAAACGGCTGTCACGCTCGGTGCTCTACCGAATCTAGACGAAGTGAGTCTTACGTGAAAAGCCTGAAATGTGCGACCAAGCTAATTAGGTGATAGGAGATGACTTGGTTGCCGGTCGATCATGCTGCGACGGCCATCTTGGAACTCGTCAATGCCTACACCACCCCGCAGCCCAGCGAGCGCGATACCGATCCCGACCTGGTGTACCACATCCTTAACCCTACGCGCTTCCACTGGACTCGTGATATGCTCCCTTCTTTGGCCAAAGCCGGTCTGCAGTTTGAGAGTCTGCCGACAGCTCAGTGGATGGACAAGTTGCGGAAGTCTGAACGGGACCCGAAAAAGAACCCGCCTATCAAGCTCCTGGACTGGTTCGAGAGTAAGTATGGACGCACGGCTTCTGCGAATAAGGGCGTTCTAGCATACATGACTGAGAAGACTGAGAACGACAGTCCTACGTTGAGAGGACTATCGGATGTCACTGATGTAGAATTCATCACGAAGTTGGTGGAGAGGTTGAAGGCTAGATGGGCGGCGGAAGGTGCGTGAGGGAAGTTGAAGTTGATCAATACTTTATCCTCTCTAGGGGAGTACCTCCAAATCCTGGACCAAGTTAACTTGCCTCAGTTTGCGACCGGATCACCATTGCAGCCCGTGACGCGCCGATAGCCTCTCCAATTTTGCCTCAATAGGACTTGAGATTTCCAAGATGAACATAACTGTATTTCTCTTCATACTTGATAAACTTGTTGAAGCGCGAAAAAGAATGAATGCCACTGCGCAGTTGGCCCCGATCATCACCGAATGTGCCATTCCTGAGAATAGACACATTTCATCAGATATAACCATTGAGCCAGATGGAATCTGAATCTAAAGCACCATGTCGCTTGCCATCACGAAGCCCGAAATTCCATTCCAAAAAGTCCCTGAAGCAAAACCGTAGCCCCTACAATGCGCCGTTTCCCTGGAGTATTGGTATCTTTAAAACCCATCCATGCGAATATTTACAAAGCAGCAGCAGCGAGAGCGACGGCGCCGAGCATGCCGTAGTATGCGTTCGTCGGCCGTGCGGCGGCGGCGGGTGTCGCGGTGGCAGATGTGGCACTGCTAGCGGTAGCGGCCGCGGTGCCGAGGGCGCCGGTTACGAGGTTCGATGCCGATGCGAGGTCGGATGCGGCAGGCTTGCTCTCAACTTCTGAGCAGATTGACGGTGCGATCTTTGCAGCCGCTGTGAAAAGTTGATTAGCCATCTATACATTTAATCGACGGAACACCAGTGATGACTAGATGTAACAAGGTTGGATGTGCAACATACCAGCGATCTCTGTTGTGGAGCAGCCAGCAGTGAGCACGCAGGGCGTCAAGCTGGAGATGAGCTTGTCCTGGCTGGCGCACAAGCAGGTGAAGTCTGTCGCGGAGCAGCCAATATCGCTGGCAGCGGTGCTGAGGCAGCCGACGGCGCAGCTGGGGAGTTGGGCGATGAGGCTGGTCAGACCGGTTGAGCTGGAGGATGCGGCGGAGGTGGTGGCCGACTGGGCGGCGGCGAGGCCGGAGAGGAGTCCGAAGGCAATGGTGTACTTCATGATGCCGGTATTGGGTTGATTTTGGTTCGATACTGAGTAGGCTTTGCGATGTCGATCGAGTGATGGGCAAGATCTTTGGTGGTTGATCAGAGGTTTAGACGATGATCAGAATGTTTGTTTGAGGAATCGAGAACAATGCCTGATCAGAGTGAGAGACGAAATGAAGAGCAATTAGAGGCCTGGAGAGAAAAGTGGCGCTTTCCAATATTGCTGATGCGGGTATTAATCGTTCGTTGAAGATCAAGGGGTTGAATGAGGAGACACCAATGGGCGTATGGAATCGATAGGAAAAGACAATTGATTTAATATACTAGAAACGAGCACCTCTGGAGATAGACCTTGAGGAGCCACAAGGGAGGTCCAGACTCAAATCTTGACACAACCAAGAACCGAACGACGCTGCCCAGAAAAATACGAGACCAGGGGCAAAGGAGAAGGATTCAATACGACGGGTCGCCGCTGCTGGGCTCGAGTTTGGTACGCCCTCAGTACGAATAGTCAATCTTGGAGCCCTTGGCTGAGATTGATGATGTTTGGCTGTGTGCGATCAGCGGAGTTTACCAAGCGACTAAGAAAGCTCCGGTTTTCTTGCAACACTGCCTCGATGCCGCGCGGTCCATCCTTGGCGGCAGTGAACAGCGTGTTTGTTCTATGGAGCAGCGCTGGCGATGGCCAGGTGCAGGTTGATGGCGGGATAATGCGCGGCAGACTAGTTGGTCAGCTTCACACGTGCTATGCTCTATTGACGATAACGTTGTACGAATAGGCGCTCAACGCCCAACGCTCCACCAGCGAGACCGAGCAAGACATCAAGGTTTTGAAGGCGTCGAGGGCATAAGCTTTGTTGAGAGTTCGGATGAGGCTTCATGTGACGATTCAATGTTGTCTATCCGCATGATGAGATGTCATCCAAACGCAGGCTGCAGCCCAAAGTCAGATCTCAGGGTTCTAGATGCGCGTTAGAACACCCCGTCTGTTCACCCAGGTCACCGCTCAACCCGCGGGAACCGGGACGAGCATAGTGTGGGAGGGAAAGAAAGGGGCTTCACTGCATATCTTGTCCCGTTTCAACGTGATGTCATTCTTATTTTAGCGGTTCACCCCTGACATGACTCCGCCGAATTGCTGCTTGGCAAGGGGCCCCTAGACAGTCAAACGCTGGTAAACTCATCCCCAGTGAAAGCAGTGAAAGCACTGACAGTCTGTCGCTCACTGAGTTTCGACTGAGGGCCGTTCTTTGTCATCCCAGGCTCACTCAAATAATAAATCTCACCCATCGGGCAGCCAATCTCATTCAATCTCACTCAAGCTGAGAGATTCGGGCAGTGTTTGATTGGCATGAAACACCTAGTCGACCCCTTGTCAGCTGTCGTCTCAAGCGAGGGAACACAAGCTTTGGCGTATGTCGGCAGTCTTCAGATGGCAGTGCTTCCCTGATCTTCGTTTGAGAAAGGCTCACCCTGTATTGTCCGTGGGTGCACGCTCTGCTACTCGGTACATTGCGGCGCGGAGGCATCCGATTGTCTCATTCGGCAGAGTCGGCGGAGGTCACGGTTGAAGCAGCCAGTTCTCTCACGATGATTCGTTTTCGCATGCGTGACAGTCCATGAGATGAACAGCGTAGGAGGAAGCTTCGTGTCTGGTGGCCAAGTATCGCACTCCAGCCCCGCACTTCGAAACACTCAAGCAGCAAGAGTCCAGCGGCAACATCCTTCTAGATACATTGACGGTGAGGTCGGTCTGGTCGTTTGACATGCATCCTCGAATTGTGCCACCCCGCTGCTTCGGACACCGGCACCGCACTCGGTTTCACGGCCGGCAGAGTCCGAAGCGGGCCCAGTGCATCGCGAACAGTACATCCCGGCTGTTCGCAACCGAGTGCCATTGTGTCTCAGAACGTCCGTCGTCGTCAGCTGACTGCTAACTTACTTCGTAATGCTCAGCGTAGCCCGTTCATTTGTGGGAAGCGCAAAACCGTCTACCCGTCCAGCCTGGCTTGCAAAACCTAAGTCAGATATTTCCATCTCACACTGTTCTGCTTCTGGCCACTCAATAACTCATCCAACTAGGCAATGGCTCTCACGCTCCACCAATTTGAATAGCCAGACTCCCGCTCAAGGCTCAATGACTGACTTTACACATAGCTTTCCGTGACATTGCCTGTCAACCCCATTCACCTTGAAGCTGGGGCCAAGCCGGTCCAAACGTATAGAAGCTGTCCAGAGAGATCTCAGGGGATGGAGGCAGTGCAGCCAAGCTAGGCTTGATGTCATTTCGCCTATGCATTCACGACCGAATTTCAGCGTCTCCCGGTCATTGACCTCAGGTGAGAGTACGTTTAGTAAGATGAGAGCTTCACCTTCGAGTTAGAAATCGATGACTTGTTTTCATTACAACAAGGTTCACCCTGCGCATTGTTAGTGTACATGTTTTGTTCATAATCAGGTGCCTGATATTGGTCTTAAGTAATATAAGAATAGGCGATTGAAGTAATAGCCAGCTTTCTGGCGGCGATTCAATACGGCTAAGCTACAACGGAAGCCGGGTACTTCATGCGAAGCATATGGTATGACTCAGCCAAAAAAATATCTGCAAGCGTCAGAAGAAGCCGATCGGCAAAGTATGGCGGTGCCGACGGTAAAGATTTCACGGTGCCGAGCTTTTCGGCCTCAGTGCCGGTTTTATGGACCCACTCCGGCGGATCCGGCGTTGAGTGAAGACTCCCGGCACCGAAGGGTTGGCCGCCGTGCTTAGAGCATAACGGCAACTCGCGATGCGGACTGAAGTTATCAGCCGAAAACATCCTCTCTACCGTAGTTAATTTCTCTTTAAAGGGCAAGATTCCCTCCAGAGATCTTTGTGTTCCCAACAAACACTCTCGCACTCCACGGACCACGATTAAGGCATCATATCAGCTACCGAAATGGACTCGCCTATGAGCGGCAGAACACCATCGTCCCACCATTTCCTTTGGGAAGAGCACTCACTCGTCATCAACAATGTCAATCTTTCCATTTTTATCGTCCGCCGAGACGGGCCACTGGATCCTATCCTCTTCCTTTATGGCTTCGGGAGCACCAAAGAAGACTTCACGGATATCATCCACTACGCGCCCCTTTCCGACTATCCTTTCCTCTCCTCCTTTATCGAGCGGACTCGGCGATCGGCGGACTATGAGAATGGGATCTATGCGGCGAGTTTTCGTTCGAAAGTCAGCTCAGAGGTGGTGAGACCTCCTTTCCAGTCCATGGTAATTTATACCGACAATGGAGACTTGCTGAATGTGTTTGAGGCAGTGCCATGCCCAAAAATGTTCATGTTCGGCGTATCATACAACAAGCTGTCGTATCTGCCGAGGATCGCACAGGCTGGCGTGAAGTTGGCGGAAATTCCGGACAGTGGGCATTTTGTCATGTATACTAATCCTACAGCGGTTTGGAAAAGAATTCAGGAGTTTGTTGGGATGGCTTCTGGGTAAGTACTTGGTTATTATATTGGTAATAATCAGCCGACAGAAACATTTGAGATCCAACCACTTGTCTGTGTGCATTCTTACGTCCATCGCCAATCTTTCTCTAATTCTGCTGCATCAGCAATATAAGGGAAATAATGTCGGACTCATTTACGATTTATCATTTACCCTTATCAAAGTAAGTACGTGTATAGATACCATCTAGGTATTAATAGTTGATAGGACAGACAAGCTACATCTAGTAATCCAATGCATTTACCTCAGCATCGTTCGTCTAAGAATACATGAAATGTCGAGCTATCATTCTGCCCTTTGACGTGTCTAACATGATCTCCTTATAACCCCAGAATGAGAAACATCCTGGCATTTAAGGCCAAGATTTTGGCAATCAAAACAGACAACGAATCCACCCCCGTAGCAAAAGTCGCAAACATAGTACGCTCGGCCAGCTGAAATGCTTGCCATACAAATATCACACCAAGCAGATTCGTAACTGAAGTCCACTGCTTGAGTGCCGAGGATTTTGTCTGCAGACATGTCGAAGTCAAACTCTGAAGCATAGTGGAACAACAGACGCATGACGGGTGCGCTCCCACTCTTCCTCGCCCACCACATCAAACCTCTACCAAGTATATCCCGGCTATCGATTAAGCCTCCCGCAATGGAAAGTAAGTGTTTGACTATTTCTTCGTGCCCGTTGCGGCAGGCTACCGACAACGGAGTCGAACCATACTGATCCGCGGTGTACATGTCTGACGGATTTTGATCGACTAGCCATCGAGTCAATTCGCAATGTCCGCGTGCTGAAGCATAGAAAAGTGGTGTCCTGCCACTGTGGTCTTTATTGCCAGTCTTGCATGTGGGATCCTGAAGAAGCAATTCTACAACTTCTGTATGCCCGCTCACAGCTGCAGCGTGCAGTGGTGTCCACCCGCTATCGTCGGCCAGCCTTCCATCAGCTCCCTCATCGAGGAGCCATTGGACCAATTCAATGCGTCCGTTATATGATGCATCATGTAGAGGTGTCCATCCTATGGCATCAAAAGGTTGTACACATCGTCCTGGTGTCCACTGAGGAGCGCTTCGACGATCTTCTGGTTCTTGGCAAAATGCCCTTCCCTAAGTGGTGCCAATATGGGCCCGTTCCCATCGGAACCGCCCCTATCTCTACCAAGGAGCAGCTTGACAACCTCGTCATGCCTATTCATTGATGCCATATAGATTGGTGTCCACTTATCATCGGTAAGAGCGGTCGAGTCGGCCCCTCTGTCAAGAAATAGCCGGACTATCTCGACAAAGCCCCGATTCGAGGCAACATGTAGCGGCGTCCAGCCTCGATTGGTTACAGCCAAAAGATCAGCTCCTGCGTCCAGTAGTGTCTTGACGATCTCATAATGGCCTTGATCGGAAGCCAAGTGAGTCGATGACCATCCATCATTATTTTCTTGAGATACATTTGCCCCATTCTTTAGGAGCAGCTCAACAACCTCACGGTGTCCACAGTGGGAGGCTGTACTGAGAGGCACTAAACCGCCGTTGTTTGCAACATCAACATCAGCTCCGCTCCGAAGAAGTAAGGCGACCACATTGAGGTGTCCGTAATAAGAGGCTACATTTATCGCTGTCCAGTTGTAGTTGTTGGCAGTCTTCAAGTCAGCCCCTTTCTCAAGGAGGAGTTGGACAACATGAGCGGCGCCCTTATAAGAGGCCTCTATTGAAGGTGTAGATCCCGCATGATTACATGCAGAATTTGCACCCGCATCCAGAAGTATCTTGGACCGTCTGGCATCTCCAGCAGTGCTTGCAATCTCCAAAGCTGTTCGGCCAAACGCGGCTTGTTCGTTCACATCATGATCTCGACTGTGAATGAGATAAAACACAATTTCGTTAAACCCAAGCTGTGTAGCGTAATGTAAGGGACCAGAATAACGCGGTTGGTTCCAAAAATCGGTTCCAAGATGAAGAATTGGACTGTGGGTCTCTATCCATTGGCGCCATACCTCCCAGCTGGGATGATGAACATCAAACAGGGCGTTGGTCAACATGAATAAAGTAGCGTCATTTATATCTCCAGCAGTGGCATGTTGATACCAAGAGTCTGCCGCATAGTGTCGAAATGATCTCTTCACACTTGGCATCGTGCTTTCGCCCTGTATGCTTGTTGCGGTCGATTTTGTTTTCTCTCCGTAGTCCCAGAAGTGGCGGCTGTTAATGTAACGGAGACAGAGCTTTGCTAATCTACTGTTCTGGAGAATTTTGTTCGATAATTGACTGTGGTTCGACATTATCAGTCCCGGGGCTGATTTGTGACATAAGAAATATTGTTTGACCGAGAAGTGAGTCAGATGTACTGTTTTCAACCCCGGCTCAGAGTCCAAGCAGGTGCCGCGGTTCTCCAACAGGGAGCCACAAGGACTCTGAATCTCGCAATCGACAAAATCGTCGTCGATTTCATCAGGTAGCTCATCGACAGTGAATTCTTCGTCATCTTCGTCAATCAGTACGGCTTCGGAAATTTCATTCACAGTCATCGGCCGTATTGAGAAAGCTGCCCACTGTAAGAGCGAATAGGCACGGTTGCGAATCGATTCTGGTAATTTAGATATCCGCGTCCAGTTTCGTTCATAGACGCGATCGAGTCCAGGTGGGATTTCATTGATCGCATCCTCAAGCTGTTTCTTATTCTTCCAGCTGCGCAAGGAGTCCTCGTGTAATTTGACCCATAGAAATTGACCATTGGAACGATCTGCAAGCATTTGAGAAACACTTTCTCTTATGGCGTCATCCTTTCTTGGTATCTTCTTGTCGACAATACTCCTTGAGTATCGAGCAATGTCGAATCGAACGTCGTCAGGGATAATTTTGAGTTCCCCGTATTGTTTTCTGCCAAACATGCCGCTTCGAATCTCGGATTCGTCCCGACTAACAACCAAGATGTGGGAATAGGTGTCAGCGACTGCTTGACTGACATTTCCGAGAAAGGCTCGTAAAGATTTGTCGTCACCTTGCCCCTTACCCATCCAAGTACACTCATCCAAGCCGTCCAAGATGAAAAACGCCCCAGGTACGGCTCGCACAAGTTTCCGAAAGAGTTTGACTATTTTGATCTGCGTGGCGAACTCTTCGTGCTGGGCTAGCCATTTGTCTCGCACCAACTGGTACGCAACTTGGTTACAAGAGGTCAGCTGATGTACCCATGACCGTACTGCCGCATAAGGGTCGTCGCGGCTTTCGAAGTCAGACGACAAGAAGAAGTAGGCCACGGGTGTCTTGGATGTTGACAACAAATGCTCAACGATGTTGGCGCAAAGGACAGTCTTGCCAAGCCCCGCGGGCCCATTGATCCATAGAAGCCTTTCGGCGTTGCCAGATTTCGCGTCTGGAGCGAGCCACTCAACAAATTCGCGGCGTTTCAAAACCCAATCGCATGTCTCTTCTAGCCTTTTTTGCTTGTATTCGTGAAAGAGATCATTCGGTGGTGGGCATGCAAGCCAGGCCCGTAGATCCCGCCGTGTCTCAGCTATAGTCGTAGCAGAGAGTTGTTAGTATACGTCGACGATCAAAGCTACCTAAGGAAGCGAGACTGAAGGACTGTGAGGCACTTACCTTCCATTTCCTTGTCTAATCGAGATAAAGTCTGCCGGAGGTCGTGAAGCCACGTCTGGTTGTCTGTTCATCATTCAGCAAGGTGGTCTAAAGTAGTCAGGTCTGTCTTGGCCTTGGAGCTGATGAATGCATCGCTGGCACTGCAAAGCGGGCCAAGCGACAAGTTCATGAGTCAAGCTCGACCGTGGGAGAAGAAAGGCGCATTTTACGAACCATTTCCAGGCGCAGAAGCCACATCAGACCTACTCCCAGGTCCTCTATTCACTGTTAAGCTATCAGGAGGAACCATGTTATGCAAATGCTGCACGAGAACTCCGAAGTTTTCGACTTGAGAAGCGCGTTTAGCTTTGCCCCTTAGGGACCAAGCAAGTTTTTGCCTCCTCGATTTCGAAGGCTTTTGCAGAGATTGTAGAGATTCAGTGCCGTGAGTCAACGTTGCGATGTCTACTTCAAGCCTGGTTTCTGGCTTCAATATGCGCTGCTGAATAGTAGTCGTTGTGCCACCACAAATTCCCTTGATGACACTGAGAAGTTCCGTAGTCATAAGACGGACCTGAGGTTCATTCAGGGCGGGATGATGGTCGTTCGAGAGCTTCCCTTCCCGGAACCCAACATCGTGAGCCCATTTCTTGAGGCGAAGCTTCTCCGCGTCGAACTGGACAGCGAGTGAACGCGAATCATGGTCGAAGTCTTTATAGATATCGACTCGCTCTATGACATCTAGGCAAGTGCTGAGAATGCCCGCGAGCCCGGCAATACCGACAGCTAATCCGACCGGCTCCATGGTTGTAATTATTGTTGAGAGGATGTGTGATGAGAAATCAGGCTAGTGAGGGGAAGTGCATTCAGTTCTTATCACGCCTGTAACCTCGTTGATTGGGCCTCATGCAGTCATCAGCAGCCAGCCAGGGCATTGATTGGCAGAGAATTGGTGCCACCCAGCGAAGTTTTGTTCCTGCCTGCAATAGGCCAAGTTCAACGTACTTCATACCGTCCCTTGACTGCATTCTCTGGCAAAATATCACTACTAGGCCATCGCGAGGGAAGCAGTGACTAACATTACAGGCTATCCTCTTGTCAACACCACCGGCTCCAACTTGAGGTGGTCAGTGACCTGCTAATTCGACATGTTGAAATTGTACAGTATATCCCATCAACTGCTAAATAATCTAATAATCCGACCCTATTTCCCTTAACTTATATCAGCCTATAAATAATCTCGAAATAGGGCGAAATTAGAGAAAGACTGGAGATGGATGTAGTGACGCCATCCAGCAGTCAATGGGATAATGAGTGCTGTGTGCACTCCTTCATTCACAATGTCCTTCATAAGTCAAGCCAATAGCTGATCAGTTGCATTAGACCTTGGACAGAAACTTCGAACATGGATGGTGGGTGCCGAGGGTGTGGTGTTGTCCTGACTACCGGGCACTAATATTTTCCACTTGGAGGAAGAGGGAAAAAATGGACATGATGGTGATGGCACTAGCGCAAAAGACGGCGCTTCCAAATTTCAATGAGCAAAAACATCATCGATGCGAAAAGTGAGTACTTACTTACACATCGTCTTTTCTCTACAGTATCTTACCTTACACTAAGGTAAAGTACATGTAGGTACTTATGTACAGCGGGCAAATATCGCCCAACCAACGACAGCCTCAAATGAGCTCGAGCTCCCACCAAGAAGGATACCCAGCGTGGTACCTTCGATATCAAGAAAAACTTACTACTTCTAATCTGCCGTACACAACCCCGAGCATTTATGACGATGACCTGTCGAGCCTCGCGACCAGCGCCAGAAGTTCTCCTGCATGCTTTTGCCCCAGCGGCGTAGAGGAGGCCGACTGCAATTGCAATGAGAGATTAGAGGCATACAAAAAAGAGTGTTCGGCATGACCTGCAAGACGAACGAAGGCGACAGGTTCAAGGAAGCAAATATCGAACGCGAGTGCCGCAAATGGGAACATCGACTCCAGAGAGACTTAATCAGGGCGCACAATGAAGTCAATCAGGGAAGGGATGGACGCGGCGCTTCAGAAGGCATCACTCAAGAAAAAGATACGACTCCGCCTCCCAATAACTCGAGATGTTACAAGAATGTGCACATACCGATTGTTCACCGTGGAGGAGATTGATACACCGATACCCGAGAAAGACACGGGCGATTACTCCCATGATCCGTTTATCGGGTGGCGGGAATTTTACTTATGGGAGCAAGATATCCCTTATCCGGATGGTATTCCTGCGAAAGCACGTGAAGCCATCAAGAGAACAAAGTCTTTCGTCATGGGCAATCCAAAGCTCTTGGAGGGGGAGCTTCTAATCAGACCTGGCCTTACCTTCGGCGTCGTTGACTTCGTTTGTCCGCGGACCGCGGGTCTCTACGACATGAATCCACTTCGTTGGTGGGAAGGTCACAAGATGGAAGTTCAATTCATCAACAATGACTACCTAGTCCTAGATTTGGACTCTACCATCGCCTTTGAGAACAGGTTTGATGACTCACGGATACCTTGGCCGTCAACTGTCAAGCCTATACCGCTTTTACGGAGTCTTATGGACTGAGAAACGTGGTGAAGAGTGGGCATGGGATGGGGAATAGGAAACGACCACCGTCACCTAGGGAGACATACTTTGAGCTCAATCATCCAATGGGGGCACATTATGTCGTACGGTATATATGGCGTTAATTGCTGCCCGTAATTAACGGCGTCGTTTTTGCGACACATTACGATTCTCGGTACTCTCAATGGGGCATGTAATCAACTCTATCGATCGAACACTAGCGCCTAGAATTTTCCTATGACAGTGGCATTACGCGCCGTTGAGGCAAGCTTCAGTATGACCTCTTCTCCCTTCCACTCCGTCGCGCCACCATCGACAGTGACGTTCTTCAGCTGGCTTCCCTCCGGGACCCGCAGCTTAACCCACACTTCAGCTGGAGGCGCCCTGGTGAAGCCTAGCACCGTAGTGATGGTACCAGCCTTCTCGTCCAACTGCATATCGAGGTCGACCAGGCCCCATTTGGTCGGGGCCCTCTGGACTGCGACCTGACCCTTGCTAAGCCACTTTCTCGGAACGCCTCGTCCAACAAGCAAAGCCTCCTTGTCGGGGTGATCGAATAAAAACGCTGCCCTGAGCAGAACGGGAACTGTAAACTGCGAAGGCTGACAGTATGTGCTGGAACCACCTCCAGTTCCGGCAACTTCAGCCGCAAGCCATAGGCCCCTGTTATAGACGTGGTATCTATGAGAGTACAAGAAGAGAGCAAACTCGTCAAGGCGGTCCTGGAGAAGCAGCGACAATGCGTAGCCGTAAGAAATGAAGCCTAGAATGTCGCGGGTATCGGCTCTGAGAGGCATCACGTTGGCGACCACACCCACGCTGGTGATTCCGTAAGCGCGCATGGAGTCAATCACCATGTCGGTATGGTTCGATGAGAGCACTGATGCCTGAAGCATTTCCGAGTAGACGCGGTGTGACCACCGCTGAGAGGACGCATCCCCCTTTTCGGCCAAGTCCTCGAGAACATGGGTCGTCTCATTCGGCAGAACAGGAACGTAAGCAGGCGTGAAGTTCCTCTGAATCCATTGGTCCAATTTCAGGGATGTCTGGTTAATGAGCTGTTCAGCTCGAGCGTTCCAGTCGTTGGCATGGTCAGCAAACGTCTCAATCTTGCTGAGATCCTTCAGACCGCGAGCAGCGAACGCCGCGTTGTTCCAGTATGGCTTCTCAAATCGCCATGCATCATTTCTCAATGCAGCATCAGACTCGCTCCAGCCAGAGATGAGGCCGTAGTACGGATCATCTTTGGGGAGCTTCAAGTTCTCGTCTTGGCGGGTTGTGAGCATGTTGGCCCAGGCAAGGATCTTTGTTTTGTACTTTTCGGGGAACGCAGTGTCGCCCGTGTACTGCACATAGCGCGCGATCAGAGAAAGCGACATGCCGAACTGGGGCACAGCAGGCCCACGCATCTTGATGGCTCCGTTGTCGTAGGTATACCAGTCCATGTAGTTCTCAAGGATGGCCTTGGCCTGAGTAAACCGTCCCCAGGCCAAGTTGGCTGTGAGAGACATGGTCATGATGTCTTGGAAGCCGTCGTACTCTGATCCACCGTAGTCGCGTTCGAAGGCACCGTACCTTGGAGTGACACCTCCAGCGCGATTAACAAGCTCCATACCAAAGGCATGTTTCCCCATATCAGACCAACTCATGTCCGGCAGAGTCAAAGAAATCTCGTCCTTAACATGTGAGTCCCAGTAGTCCGCGAATCGCATCAGAGCAGGGTAATAGTCATCGGCGGTGGGATGCGCCTTCAACGGCAGGAACTGCTTGTAATCCAGCGCGTACTTCTGTGCACGCAGGACTCCGCCCTTGACATACTTGATTGAGAACCAAATGTGAACAATATCGGGATCTGGAGAGTCGATGTCGGCGAAGGTCGTGATATCAACCCAGTCGGTTGTGTCGACAAGGCCGCGGTAAATCTTTCGAGAAGCAGGCATCCATCCGTTGAGCAGGCCATCGAAAGTGTAGTTCGAGTGAGTTCCGTCCGCGGCCTCCAACATGTCATCCCAAGGGGCGTAGTTCTTTGTCACAGACTGCCAGTCGAGGGCCATGGTGTCGTTTGCCTGGACGTTTCCGAGGTACACATCCCATGGCAGGAAGGACAAGTCGATGACATCGCGAACGTGTTCCTCAATCGGCTCGCCATCTTGAAGAAGACGCTCTGCCAACACATCATTTTGCTTGAGATTGACATCGTTTGCAGGATCCAAGCCAAAGTAAGCGTCTACTGTCCGGTTGATAGATACGGACTCATCTGTGGAGGCTTCAACGTATCGCTTGATTTCTCTGCGTGTTCCAGAAGCTGACACCAGGACTAGCGGGCCGTCGAATCGAGTGATGTCTTCGTAAGCTGTCCATGTTTCCCCCTTGTAAGCGAAGGTGTCGATGGATGTTAGTCCATCGACGGTCTTTTTTTGTCGAGGATTCAAATGATCCGTGGTGGTGCTGCCGGCAAACCCAATGTAGTCATCGTTCGACAGTTGCGACACCTCATGATACGGTTTTGGGTGTTTGACTGAACCTCTCCCGGCCAGAGATGTTAAAATGAATGAAGAAAAAACGAGTGACTTGATAAAAGAGTGACGAGGCATGATTGCAACTTTTGCCCAAAGGACACCTAAAATCCCCAGTACAACCTGGCCTGCAATTCAAGCAAGATCGTCGCGACTAGGGGGTCTTCATTGATTTATACGACACAGTAGTCATCGACTGCCGGAAGAACCGGGAGTATCACGGGCACTTCGTCCGGGAGCTGACTACAATTACACCGAGTCAGACAGATGCGCTAGGAAACATTAATTGACATTATGCAGTTTTACCGGGGAGAAGTCACCTTCTTCCACAGCTCTTGTGAGGAAACGAACCGAAATCTCCCCATCCCAAAATTGAAGGAAATGAGGCATGGGGTTTCGAGAACTCTCTTATATTGGATGAGGTTTTTGTCGGATTGGAAGTCCAATTCGACCGCGGATAAGGGCAAGAGCATGGGCCACCTCGAGGTGGTACAATTAGACCGCGACTACCCAACCAACCTACGGTTGGAATCTCCCTTTTACACATTACGCAGAATCAATCAATACAGAGATATTGATACTTCGTCACCCCCAGGACCCTACGGTTCGAACCAACTTCCCTGTGATAGGGATACCAACAGTTTTACTTCGTGAGAGCTAGCCGGTGTAAGAAGGTGTAAGCTTCTTTGCTCCCGAAAACCACAACTAACCGCGCGCTCTCTAGCTCCCGGCCCCTTTGAAGGTTCACAGCTTCCAAAACGCTATTTCTAACTTCTCTAATTCTCTGAACTTGGCAATTCTCTCCACGCACGCTACTTAACATACCCAATGAATCCACAGGAGATGATGTTCTTTCCCGCAAGTTCCGGGTAAGATGGAAACGGGCCAAGATATTAGAGTTGACAGGGATACCCCGTGGACTCAGACTATGTGACCGCTGTTTAGCGCAGAAACGCCCCCTTTGGTGGAGTTCATTGACCGCGTTGCAGTGAGTGTCGGCAGCTCACAGCAGCGAAGGGCTCGGAGGGCCCCCGATTTTCAGGGCCTACACTGCAGGCGACATGCCGTCCGCATCTGTGGATGAAGTTCTTGGTCGCTATCGATCCGACAACTGACATCGATGAGATCTAAGCAAGAAGTTGACGATTACTTGTGGAAATGACCTTGAACTAATTTGAAGTCACCCACTGCTATGTATGTTCAGACGCAAGCCCAAGACTTTCGACGACCGCACTACGTCAGCACTGTGGTCGTAACTGAGACATACGGGTCAGCCTTCTATGCATATCCAGCGACGGGATGGTAGTTCATCAAGCTGGGATTCCCAAATCCACTACCACTGATAATTACAGCCAAACCCTTGTGACGCTTATTCACAATTTACTCAGTGGCTAGCAATGCTCATCTGAAAACATCGATTTCGTGGTATTATACAGCGCATCGAGCAACTCTACAGCTTTTTGTCATTAATTGTACATCCAAGGACAACCGCTTCCGTCCATACTCTCGAAACCCGTTCCATCCTGAAGCCAATCCTGCCCCAAAAACATACAATCATTGCCGCTTTGGTCCAGCGACAGCTGTTCGTGGAAGCCAATATCAGGTGGCATCTCAAATACAGACTTTGTGGCAGGCTGTTGGCCCTTTTTCATATCCATAAACTCCCCAAGCTCCTCCAGTGGAGAGAAATCAATATCGAGAAAACCAGATACACCTGGCCGAATCGCACATCCAGAGTTCATCGTGTTCCCAACCTCTTGCGCCGCCCTGTTCGTCTCAGCGGCCCTCTTCTCGGCCTCTTTCGCCGACCTCCATTTTTCGATCAGGCCTTCCAGCTCGGTACCAGCCTTGTGCGCCACAGGGTACGACTTTCCAAGCTCGGACAACGCTTCGGTGGAGCTCTGGAGGAGGACCTCGTGGTTTCCTGGTTGTGCTGCGCGGAGGTTGAGGAGATGGATGCTACCCGCGATGAAGATGAAGTGAACGACTGATGGCGGCATCTGCCTCATGTTGAAAGACCGCCTGTAGGTGGTTGCGAGCTTCGTAATGTTTGCTGCTGCTGTGGCGCATGCGTGTGTAGAGTTCAGAGGTGACGAGCTCATGTCGTCGATGTCGAGAAACTTTGAAGAGAATCGGAGGAATGGTCGGTGGAGCAGAATGAGAGCGAAGTAAAAGTTCATCCTGCGTGTTTCATTAGCTACAAACCCCCTCAGCTAGGCTGGATGTTTAAGGTACTTACTGTAAGATGAAGACATGGGGCTGTGCCAAGATGTTTGAGTCACTGGACCATGTCAGGCTCTTAGGAAGATCATGATGCCACTGCCATAGGGCTCTGTGAAGTTGAGATGCTTTCAATCGCATCTCACCTGTCGATGAATGACGTCTTTGACGGTGGATACTAATCAGTATCTTAGAGCACAGCACTGAGAGTGTGGAGGTGTGGTGTAAGAGTAATGAAGTCGATTGGGCGTCTTCTTTGTCAACGCTTGTTACTTGTCGTTCAGGTACAGGAATGGAGATGTCCCACTCCATAAACGAGTTTGGACGCCCACAGTAAGCGCTGAAGAGACTGATTACAATCAAAGGTTAGCCATTGCTAATTTG